CCCTCTGAGAGGCATGCCTGACTGCATAGGGGTAGATGCCCAGAACCCCTCTCCAAAAAGGGGGCATCAGGAAGTATGATGGAGGTCAGGCCTCTGTCTCCGCCTCTGCTGGCAAGTTCCGCCTTGAGCTTCTGTTAGACAAAAAAGGGGGAGCTGTTGGCAGCCGCGCTCAGAAAATAGCGCCCAATGCAGGGCAGCCGGAAGGCCCCGAACTTCCTAATGACAAATCATCCCACACCACTAAACTACATGCTAATTGCGCCTTGGCATAAGGACCAATGAGACCCACCAAATGGTTATGCTAATAAGGCATATGGAGCCGCACCAACCAGGTCAGAGCATGAGAACTATATAAGCAAGCCTCTCCTTCCCCTCTGGGTCCTGCCCAACTCATTTGTTTCACAAAGAGCTGAAGAATAAAGCTTTCTGCAGAAGAATCCTGCTGTTGTTGCGTGCTGTTCTTGCCGGCGAGGACGGGGCACGCGACACTAGGCCAGGGTTTCAAAGTGTTTTTTACTTACGGGTTCTTATACCCTGTTCTACCAGCCATACCACCTTCTCCCAACATGGCTCTAGCTATTTGGCACAGGCTGTATGTGGCACTAAGGGTGAGCTTACCAGGCTGGAAACTGAGCAGATGTTATGATGGGGAGAAATGCCTAGTTTATATAAGATTTGATGACAAGTGGGCTCCTGAGAATTAGATAATGACACAGAGTCTATGACACTGGCTAAAGGCAATCTCAATGTCAAGAAAGATTCCTTCTGGAAGTCTCTGGTTTTCTAAGTTACTCAAGACAATACAAGGCAGAGCTATCCAGAGAGAAGCCCTTCCTAAGCACTTCAACCCCACCATTCCCTTCCCATTGAACATCCCAGAGGACAGGCTATTTAAACCACTGCTCTTTGCTCTGAATCACAGACTGTCTTGCCTTCACTCTAAACGGGTTCAGATGTACATGAGTGTTTCCCTGGGTGGAGAGAACAGCGCACCTGACACAGATCTTCCACACACAGCAAACTCTCAGTAAGCCTGTGCTGATCTGTTGAAGCACCACAGTCCTACTTTACCATCTTGAGAAACTAACTTGTGTTAAGTAAACACTTGTGTCCAAGCAGCTTACTTTCCATATTTAAATAATAACTATTTAGCTAGGATCTAAGTAGTAAACATCTTTCTTTCAATGTTCTTCCAGTTTATCACATGGTGCTTAATTTAGGCTGAGGATGTTTATAACTGTAACATCAAAAATGTTATAAACAGCACGTCTATAGCTTCAATTCTGCTTCATTTTGTTCAGTTGTCAGAGCAATTTAAAAAGGTGCCCACTTGCCATAAACCAGAGGAGGAAATTTTCCTCCAATTATGTTTTAATTCATAGGCAATCATTCTCTATAGCAGATAGCAAGTTGAGGGGGCTAGAAGTTGGGGAGCATGAAGTCAGGCAGATGAAGTATTACATAATTTTAATGTAAATTTTTACAAATGAGTATTGCAGGAGTGGCAGAAACACAATGTCTTGTAACTGAAGCCAAGTAAAGAGCATGTTTACTTGTGGTATCAAATCCATCTAGAACCATCTCCTCAGACAACCATGATGTGGTCTAGAACAGACTGTTTCTCACCTGAATGCTCTGACTGCCTTGGCCTAATTTTTCATTTCATCACAAGACTGTTTTCCCACCTTTTGCTTGAGGGTCCTGAATATGACCTTGAGATTTTCAAGTAACTGGTGTCATCTGGGAATGACCCATGCCACAAACACAGATTCCTCTGCATAATATGGTATTTCCTGCTATTTGTAATGACTAGAGAAATCAGTGAAAAACCTTTCTCAAAAAGGCCCATGTCTCTTAGTAAAATTTTATTCTTAATCTGTTTGCTAAACATTTGCTAAGAATGTTTTATGAATGACACTTTAACATACAGAAATTAGTAAGACTCTGACCTCAAAAAACTTCCAATCTAATAGGAAAGACACTCACAGAAGCCAAATTCTTGTTCAGCTCTATCCTCCATCTCCCCCTGTCTCAGGAATGGGCACACCATCTGCCCAGCTGTTTAAATCTAAAACCGGGAATCACCCTTGATTCCACAATGCTCCATCTCTATGGCTACCACCCAGAACCAAGCCACTGTTATCTTTTACTTCAACCAAGGAAATCGTTTTCTCAATTGTCTCTTGCTTCTATGCTACTTTCTCCAAACTACATATATCCTAAGACAAACCTTCAGGTTACTCTCCCTCTTAAAGCCCCGATGCTTCCCACACTCTTAGAGCTGATCCTCTTCCAATGACCTGCCAAGGCCCCACATGACCTGGCCCCAACTACCTGCCAGCTTCACCTTCTACCACTGTTCTTATTTACTATATTCCTCTATTCTGGCCCTCTTTCTGCTTCTCATTTTGAAGCCATTATGCCTGCTGTGTCCTCTGCTTAGAATACTCTCTTCTCTCCCTTCCTGTTGCAGGAGTGTCACTGTCCCTTCACTACAGTCTTAGAGCCCATGTCTCTTCCTTAGGAAGCCTTCCCTGATTATTCCCTCAGATACTTTCCCAAGACATTTTATTTTCATTTCATTTCTACTTTCTGAATTCCTTTGTAAATTACCTGTGACTGCTTCTCTCCTCAAGTGACTATAACCTGACCATGTCAGTGGTGTTAGCAACTGTGGCCTCTGCCAGAACTGTGCCCACTTCACAGGACGTGCTCACAAAGGACTTGTTGATAGATAGTGTCCAGAATCAGGATGACAGAAATGGAAATGTACAGTGAGGAAGGGACCCTTACTTTTGGTTGGGGAGGGGAAAACTGATAATAGCTTCCAGAGAAGAAATGGTATAGACCATGCTCTAGAGGACAAGTAGGTATATCTCAAAACTCATGCTAGGCTGTGCAACTAGCAAAAGGAAACCAAAGGCATGGCTAGTCCAGGTGAGTCTGAGCAATGCAAACGGTACCTGAAATGTCTGGTACCAGAACACGTGGAGGTTGGGATAGGCTGGGAGAAGAACAGACAGGGGACAGCCTGAGTAACAAGGAAGGGGCTGGAATTTTATCGTTTAGACCATGAAAAGTCACTGAATAGTTCTGAGGATGAGAATTAGTACACTGTAACCTATATTTTACAGATACTGCACAAAACTGTTCTAAGTTAAAAACAGGCAAACAACAAAAATGGCATCACTTTAAGAGAACTACATATTCTGTGTTTGGAGGAGAAAAAGGCAGCCATCAGATGCAGTCCATAAGTGTAAGAGAAAGAGGGGCCCACAGCTGGTGACCCTGCATCTCAGATGGGCTGAACGCAGGTCCATTTTTGGTTTTCAAAGGCACTGAACAGCCATGTAACACTTCCAAAGAGTTTCAAAGTAAAAGGCACCACATGGAGGATAATGAAGCTGCAGCCTGGATTCCAGAACTGGAACTGGGTCCTGCACCAGGAGAGGACTTCAAGCAAGCACTCTTCCTATCCCAGGAGAGTATAATTAGTTAAACAGCACTAAACAGATGGGATCGCACTGTTTAAACCGAAATTAATCCTAACGACCTGCATATTATATTAGATTTAAAGGGAGTTTGCGAATGATCACTGTCACAGTGAACAGCCGTCGCTAAACATGCCTTCTGAAGTACAGTAACCCAGTCGCTCTGAGGGGTGTTATCTATTTGGCTTATTTTAATACAGATTTATTTAATGAGCACAACTCTCCTCAACAGCCACGTGAGAAGATAGAAAGGCTGAACACTACAGACAAAGGCTGACTCGGAGCAAACTTCCTGCTTGTACTTCCAGAAGTTCAGGAAGGAGGAAGACGCCCAGGAGCCTACAGCCACGGTGTCACACTGACTGGCATTTTTTCTTGTATTGTTAGCTGAAACAAGGTGTGTCAGATCCAGGCTTCAGCTTGCTTATAAAATAAGGAATCCAGAAACATGATCAAAGAGCCCTCACTAGTTTTAAACCCCCATCTGCTTTCTGCAAACCAGAGTCTGGACTGGAGCTGAAGGAGGGCTGCCATTGGGTGCAGCATGTGAGAGGATAGCTGAGCCAGGGGCCACAGGCACTGGAACCGGCCCCAGGTCTCACTTAGGTCCCCAAGTGGAGAAAGGCAGTAATGACATAGTCAGAGCACAGGGTGGGAAGCGGATGGATCTAGACTCAACCTCTATGAAACTGTGGGCAAGCAAATCTGTATAAATTCTGTGTGATCCAGGAGAGACACAGTGAAAGAACTGAGAGATAATGGATGCAAGGTGGGAGAGACTGGGCAGGGCAAACAGTAACCAAATGCTGCTATTGTCAGTTTTATCTCACTTATTTTGCTACTGGATTTCCTCCACTGTTTTATATGATATGTGTCTTATACAAAATTATGGAGCCTCACAAAACTGGCCAGGGTTCCCAAAACCCTTTCATACAGTTCCCTGCTTGGGGGCATTTTCATTTCACTGATGAAACCATGAAGGACCTGAGCAGTTAAGTTGACCCTCCCAGGTCACTCAGCCAGGAAGTCACTATCATTTGCATCCTCAGACATTGCCTACTGCTTGGAAGTAGTGAACATAATTGCTTGAGCTATTTGATGCCCTAAGAATCAAAGTTATCTCTGTTACTACAATAAACGTATAAAATGAGATGCAAGTTCCTAAGCCAAAGGGATCATGCACTGAGTCATCAAGTGCCAACTCTAAAGCATTAGACAGTTATGAAAACGGTAACAAAGCTTGTAGCAACTCTTACTAATGCTTCTTAAGCAGTTAAGCAAAAAATAATCAGAATACATAATCTCATTTAAGTTGTGATTACAACTAAGTAAAATTACATACATACATAGCAAGGGCTAGAAGGGAACATGGAAAATGATTCTATGGTTGATTTGATAAGGAGACACAATTGCAGAAGTTTTATTTTTATCTGTTCGTTTAGTGAAACTGACATAATAAACAACACAACCGTGATAATCACAGGTTAGGAGACACAGCTGTTCACTCACCCAGGGTTATATAACATGACTGCAGACAGGTTCTCACAGGACTTCGAGAGGTCGGTCATGGACAAGCTGAAGGAGGACAGAAGGCCACTCTAAGAGCAGACACAGGGAAGAGGGGTTACCTTAGCAGACAAGAAAAGGCCAGTGCTCTGGACTCACTGTCTGCACCTCATGAGAGGCAGTGAGGTGCATACACTCCGTGTCAGCACACAAACCATCCGGTTTGAGTGAGGACAGCAGGTCAAGAACACAGCAGGCTATGGATGCCTCTCAAACCCAGGCCCTCAAAACCAAAGCTAGCACAGTAGGGCTGTAGCATGCTTGGATTGGGAAAGCTAACCCTGAATGACACAACCACTGCATTAGTCAAGGCCGGGGTCATGACAGCTTTGTCATCTCCATTCCCCAGCAAGAGCAGTGTCCCTATACTCACTGAGGGATAAAGATGAAGTAGGGAAGGGTGAAGGGGGATCACACAGTGACAGCTTGGCCTTCTTTTCTTCCAAGGAAAGCTACGGACAAACATTCTCTTCCCTCTCTTCCTCTGCTAGTGTGTGTAGAAAAGGACCCTCCAAGGACACTGGGCTCAGACTGGCTTCACTGGTTGGAACGAGCAGCCCTGGAGAACAGCAGGCTTTGCAGCTTTCTCGGTATTTTCCATCTAAGGCATGGGCAACCTTGGGAAGCCCTTACAAAAGTAAGTTGAGAGGCTGGGCTGTGGAATTCAGCAGTGAAGGGCAACCACTTCCAAGTCACAGGTCAGGGCTGGACCTCCGGCTCCCCACTTGCCAGTTCCAGAACAATTTAGTCTCAGTTTCTCATCCTGATCATCTATGACATGCACTAGTAGATGCCTTGCAGATAAAGGGGGATACATGCAGAAGTTTGGCAAACTGCGTGACTCATTGAAATATTAGCTGCCATCTTTATTACCTTCCTCAATCTAAGACAGCTCATGCCCTGTACAGATTCCTCTCCTTTTCATCCTCCCCTCTCTCTCTGCTCCTCATCCATGTCTCCCATACAGCACTTAAAAGTGCCCCCCAGCCCCAGATGTCCCCATCCAACCAAGTCTCTCTCCACTGTACCAAACTCACACCCTGCCCCACCCCCATTCAATCTGCTTCACATCTCAACCAAAAAATCCCATTTGTTGTGGAGGAAAATAAAAAGTGAGCAAACTTTGGGATGAAAGTGATTCTAATACTGTTAACTCCTAAAATAGATGCTCTTAAGTAAAAGTTACTCTGCACTTAATATAAAATGATGCCCAACTCCTTTTTAGGGGTGGAGGGTTCAAGAGAAAGATCTAGAAAGAGCCTTTTCTCCCTCTGCTCTGAACTTTAATTGCTTGCTCTCCTTCTTCATCAGCCAGTCATGGACTGGGAAATAAACTCCGTAGATCAATCCAGGCTACAGAATGACTTTTCTGGGTCTGGACTCCAGAAAAATCAGTGTTGGAATCAGAGTGGAGATCCCCAGGCCCCGGTCACACCCAGATCAGAAACAGCTCCTGGAGATGCCATGCTGCTCACCTTTCTCTTCTCCCTGAGCTTAGCAGCCTCCTTTGGATGGTTGAAACGGAACATATTCGTTCTTCCCAAGAGTATCACTGCACCTAAGAACATAAAAAAAAGTGATGACTTTACAGTAACCAACACAGTCAAGATAACATGATAACATGGAATTTTAGAGTTGAAATGTAATTTCCAGTGTACCTGAAAACAGTAATAATAAGGGAAACCTTTAGTCTCAAAGGTCTGCTTATATAAACCAAATTTAAATCCACAAGTAATTTTTTGTTGTTGTTGTTTTATTTTGTTTTTCATTAAAGTATCATTTATACACAATCTTTTGAAGGTTTCACATGAACAACATTGTGGTTTCAACATTCACCCATATTATCAAGTCTTCATCCCCTCATTGCAGTCACAGTCAATCAGCATAGTAAGATGCTATACAGTCATTATTTGTCTTCTCCATGATGTACTGCCTTCCCTGTGACCTACCTATACTGTGTGTGCTAATTATAATGCCCCTTAATCCTTCTCCCTCCCTCCCCACTCACCTTCCCCAACCTCTTCCCTTTGGTAACCCCTGGTCCTTTCTTGGAGTCTGTGAGTCTGCTGCTGTTTTGTTCCTTCAGTTTTGCTTCGTTGTTATACTCTACAAATAAGTGAAGTCAATTGGTATTTGTCTTTCTCTGCCTGGCTTATTTCACTGAGCATAATACCCTCTAGCTCCATCCATATTATTGCAAATGGTAAGATTTGTTTTCTTCTTATGACTGAATAATATTCCATTGTGTATATGTACCACCTCTTTTTTATACATTCATCTACTGGTGGACACTTAGGTTACTTCCATATATTGGCTATTGTAAATAGTGCTGCGATCAACATAGGACTGTATAAGTCGTTTTGAATCTGGTACCTTGTTTTTTTTTTGAGTAAATTCCTAGGAGTGGAATTCCTGGGTCAAATGGTATTTCTATTTTTAGTTTTTTGAGGAACCTCCATATTGGTTTCCACAATGGTTGAACTAATTTACATTCCTACCAGCAGTATAGGAGGGTTCCCCTTTCTCTGCATCCTCACCAGCATTTGTTGTTCCATGTCTTTTCGATGTTGGCCACCCTAACTGGTGTGCAGTGATATCTCATTGTGGTTTTAATTTGCATTTTCCCGATAATTAGCGATGTGGAGCATCTTTTCATGTGCCTGTTGGACATCCAAATTTCTCCTTTGGAGAAATGTGTGTTCAGATCCTCTGTCCATTATTTAATCGGGTTATTAGTTTTTTGGGTATTGAGGCATGTAAGTTCTTTATATATTTTGGATTTTAACCCCTTGTTGGATATGTTGTTTACAAATATATTCTCCCATACTGTAGGATGCCTTTTTGTTCTACTGATGGTGTCCTTTGCTGTACAGAAGCTTTTTTGTTTGATATAGTCTCACTTGTTCAATTTTTATTTTGTTTCCCATGCCTGAGGAGTTATGTTCAGGAAAAAGTTGCTCATGTTTATATTCAATACATTTTGCCTATATTTTCTTCTATGAGTTTTATGGTTTCATTACTTACATTCAGGTCTTTGATCCATTTTGAGTTTACTTTTGTGTATGGAGTTAGACAGTGATCCGGTTTCATTCTCTTGCATGTAGCTGTCCAGTTTTGCCAACACCAGTTGTTGAAGAGGCTGTCATTTGCCCACTGTATATACATGGCTCCTTTATCATATATTAATTGACCATAAATGTGTGGGTTTATATCTGGGCTCTCTATTCTGTTCCATTTATCTATGGAGCTGTTCTTGTGCCACTACCAAATTCTTTTCATTATTGTGGCTTTGTAGTAGAGCTGAATAATCCCCCCAGCTTTATTCTTCCTTCTCAGTATTGCTTAAGCTATTCAGGGTCTTTTGTGGTTCCACATGAATTTTGGAACTATTTGTTCTAGTTTGTTAAAGAATGCTGTTGGTATTTTGATAGGGATAGCACTGAATCTGTAGATTGCTTTAGGCAGGACGGCAATTTTGACAATATTAATTCTTCCTATCCATGAGCAGAGGATGTATTTCCATTTATTGATGTCTTCTTTAATTTCTCTCATACGTGTCTTGTAGTTTTCTGAATAATAGGTCTTTCACCTCATTGGTTAGGTTTATTCCTAGGTATTTTATTCTTTTTGATGCAATTGTGAGTGGAATTATTTTCCTGATTTCTCTTTCAGCTAATTTGTTGTTAATATACTAGAATGAAATAGATATCTGTATATTAATTTTTTATCCATCAACTTTCTGAATTCAGTCATTAGTTGTAACAATTTTTTGGCAGAGTCTTTAGGGTTCTCTATATATAATATCATGTTGTCTAGAGTGACAGTTTAACTTCTGCCTTTTCAATCTGGGTACCTTTTATTTCTTTGTGTTGTCTGATTGCCGTGGCTAGGACCTTCAGTACTATATTGAATAAAAGCAGGGAGAATGGGCATCCTTGTCTTGTTTCTGATCTTAGAGGAAAAGCTTCCAGCTTTTCGCCTTTGAGTATGATGCTGGCAGTGAGTTTGTCATGAATGGCCTTTATTATGTTGAGGTATGTACCCTCTATACACATTTTGTTGTAAGTTTTTATTGTGAATGGATGTTGAATTTTGTCAAATGCTCTTTCAGCATCTATTGAGATGACCATGTGATTTCTGTCCTTTTTGTTGATGTGGTGTATGATGTTGATTGATTTTTTAATACTGTACCATCCTTGCATCTCAGGAATACATCTCACTTGGTCATGATGGATGATCTTTTTGATGTGTTTTTGAATTTCATTTGCTAGTAGTTTGTTGAGTATTTTTGCATCTATGGTCATCAGGGATATTGGTCTGGAATTTTCTTTTTTAGTGGTGTCTGTCTGGTTTTGGTATTAGAGTGAAGCTGGCCTCATAGGTTAAGTTTGGAAATACTCCCTCCTCTTGTACTTTTTGGAATACTTCAAGGAGGATGGGTATTAGGTCTTCTTTAAATGTTTGATAAAACTCAGTGATGAAGCCATCTGGTATAGGCATTTTGTTCTTAGTTAGTTTTTTGATTACCAATTTGATTTCATTGCTAGTACTTCATCTATTCAGATTTTCTGTTTCTTCCTGGATCAGTCTTGAAAGGTTGGATTTTTCTAGAAAGTTGTCCATTTCTTCTAGGTTATCCAATTTGTTAGCATACAATTTTTCATAGTATTCTCTCATAGTTCTTTGTATTTCTGTAGTGTCCATAGTGATTTTTCCTTTTTCATTTCTGAGTCTGTTTATGTGTGTACACTCTCCTTTTTTCTTTATAAGTCTGGCTATTTTGTTAATTTTTTCAAAGAACCAGCTACTGGTTCTATTGATTCTTTCTATATTCTTTTATTCTTCTCTATTTTATTTATTTCTTCTCTGAACTTTAATATGACCCTCCTTCTACCTACTTCATGTCTCATTTGTTCTTTTCCTAGTTTCATTAACTGTGCATTTGGACTGTTCATTTGGGATTGTTCTTCTTTGTTGAGGTAAGCCTGTACTGCAATATACTTTCTTCTTAGAACTGCATTTGTTGCATCCCACAGGTTTTGGGGTGTTGAGTTATTGTTTTTATTTTTCTCGATGTATTGCTTGATCTCTGTTTTTATTTGGTCATTGATTCATTGATTATTTGGGAGCATGTGTTTGTGGGCTTTTTGTTTTCTTTGCATAATTTATTTCTAGTTTCATACCTTTGTGGTCTGAGAAGCTGGTTGATACAATTTCAATCTTTTTGAATTTATTGAGTCTCTTTTTATGGCCTAGTATATGATCTATTCTGGAAAACATTCCATGTACACTTGAGAAGAATGTGTATCTTGCTGCTTTTGGGTGGAGTGTTCTATAGATGTCTGTTAGGTCCATTTGTTTTAATGTACTGTTCAGTGCCTCTGTCTCCTTGCTTACTTTCTGTCTCATTGATCTTTCTTTTGGTGTGAATGGTGTATTAAAGTCTCCTAAATTCAATGTGTTACATTCTATTTCCTCCTTTAATTCTATTAGTATCTGTTTCACATATTTAGGTGCTCCTATATTGGGTACATAAATGTTTATAATGGTTATATCCTCTTGTTGGACTGACCGCTTTATCATTATGTAATGTCCTTTGTCTCTCATTACTTTCTTTGTTTTGAAACCTACTTCGTCTGATATAAGTACTGCTACTTGCTGCTTTTTTCTCCCTATTATTTGAATGAAATATCTTTGTCCAGCTCTTCACTTTTAGTCTGCGTATGTCTTTGGGTTTTAAGTGAGTCTCTTGTAGGCAGCATATAGATGGGTCTTGTTTTTTTATCCAATCTGTAACTCTGTATCTTTTGATTGCTGCATTCAGTCCATTTCCATTTAGGTGATTATCAATAGATATGTACTTACTGCCATCTTAGGCTTTAGATTTGTGGTTACCAAAGGTTCAAGGATAGTTTCCTTACTATCTAACAGTCTATCTTAAATTGCTTATTACTCTATTTCAAACACAATCCAAAGGATTTTTTTTCCCTTCCACTTCTTCTTCTTCCTCTTCCTTCCACTCTTTATATATTAAGTGTCATATTCTATACTCTTTGTTTAGCCCTTGACTAACTTTGTGAGTAGCTGATTTAACTTTGTATTTGCTTAGTAATCAATTGGTCTACTACCTTTACTGTGGGTTTATCTTCTTGGGTGACAGCTATTTAGCCTTAGGAGCATTTCCATCTACAGCATTCCCTTTAAGAGATCTTGCAGAAATGATCTGGTGGTGGTGAATTCCCTCAACTTTTGTTTATCTGGAAATTGTTTAATCCCTGATTCAAATTTAAGTGATAATCTTTCCAGTTAGAGTATTCTTGGTTGGAGGCCCTTCTCTTTTTTTACATTAAATATATCATGCCACTCCCTTCTGGCCTGTAAGGTTTCTGCTGAGAAGTCTGATGATAGCCTGATAGAGTTTCCTTTAGAAGTAATCTTTTTTCTCCCTCTGGCTGCTTTCTGTGCTCTCTCATTGTCCTTGATCTTTGCCATTTTAATTATTATGTGTCTTGGTGTTGTCTTCCTAGGGCTCCTTTTGTTTGGTGATCTTTGTGCTTC